CCCCCATTGCAATTTCTCCCGACTAACCGATCGCGACCCTACGCGCGCTTTCCGTCATCTGGGCCTCGGCTGCCTACAACCCACACACCCCTTGTTATTTCTCCCGGCTAACGGATCGCGACGCTACGCGCGCATTCCGTCATCTGACGCTCCGGCTGCCTACCCCCACCCTCCTTGTTATTTCTCCTGGGCCGACACGGAAACGGAAAGAGCGCCTCAGGAACTGGCCCGAGAGGACTCATGGCGCGCTTCGCTACGGGAGGCTTGGTGCGAAGGGCTTGTTACGTCTCCGCTCTCCGTTGGGAGCCCTGGTGTCCAGAGACTGTTGCGTTGCCGCTCGTTCTTGGGAGCCTTGATGTGACGAGCTTTGTACGTCACCGCACTCTGGGGAGCCTTGGTATCAGAGCTTGTTACGTCACCGCTCGCTGGAGGGAGCCGTGGTGTTCTTGAGCGTCCCTTGGGCCTAATCGGGGTCTTCTTGGGGCCCTTTTGGAGCCCTTTCGGAGCCCATTTAAAGCAATTTGGGCCGTCTTGGGGCCCTTTTGGGGCATCTAGGGGCGTCTTGGAAGCCTTGGGCCGTCTTGGGGCTCTCTTAGGGGCCTGTTGGGGGGCCCTCTTGGGGCTTTTTTGGGGCCGTCTTGGGCCGTCTTGGGGCCGTTTTGGGCCACTTTGGGCCCCTCTGGGGCCGTCTTGGGGCCCTCTTGAACAGTTTTCGGGGACTTTCGGGGGCCTCTTGGGCCGTCACGGGGCGATCTTTGGAGCATCGTGGGCCGTTTCTGCAGTTCTCGGCCCAGAAGGCAAGAACCCCATTATCCCGGCAAAGCAACCTAACAGCGATGTGTAGGAGCATATCTGGAGGCATTCCCCCTAATATTCAGATGATAATCCAGTTGTAGAATTCTGCTGTTCTCGCAGTCGTAGTCGCATTCGCGATGACAGTCGCAGTGGCAACGGCAGTCGCAGTCACGGCCTCAGCCTCAGCCTGCCTCAGCCTCAGCCTCAGCCTCAGCCTCAGCCTCAGCCCTCAGCCTCAGCAGCCTCAAGCCTTCCTCAGCCTCAGCCTCAGCCTCAGCTCAGCCTCAGCCTCAGCCTCAGCCTCAGCCTCAGCCTCTCAGCCAGCCTCAGCCTCAGCCTGCCTCTGCCTCAGCCTCAGCCTCAGCCTCAGCCTCAGCCTCAGCCTCAGCCTCAGCCTCAGCAGCCTCAGCCTCAGCCTGCCTCAGCCTCAGCCATCAGCCTCAGCCTCAGCCTCAGCCTCAGCCTGCCTCAGCCTCAGCCTGCCTCAGCCTCAGCCTCAGCCTGCTTCAGCCTCAGCCTCAGTCTGCCTTCAGCCTCGGCCTCAGCCTCAGCCTGCCTCAGCCTCAGCCTGCAGCCTCAGCCTCAGCCTCAGCCTCAGCCTGCCTCAGCCTCAGCCTCAGCCTCAGCCTCAGCCTCAGCCTGCTTCAGCCTCAGCCTCAGTCTGCCTTCAGCCTCGGCCTCAGCCTCAGCCTGCCTCAGCCTCAGCCTGCCTCAGCCTCAGCCTCAGCCTCAGCCTCAGCCTGCCTCAGCCTCAGCCTGCCTCAGCCTCAGCCTGCCTCAGCCTCAGCCTCAGCCTGCCTCAGCCTCAGCCAGCCTCAGCCTCAGCCAGCCTCAGCCTCAGCCTCAGCCTGCCTCAGCCTCAGCCTCAGCCTCAGCCTCAGCCTCAGCCTCAGCCTCCTCAGCCTCAGCCTCAGCCTGCTCAGCCTCAGCCTCAGCCTCAATCAGCCTCAGCCTCAGCCTCAGCCTCAGCCTCAGCCTCAGCCTGCATCAGCCTCAGCCTCAGCCTCAGCCTGCCTCAGCCTCAGCCTGCCTCAGCCTCAGCCTCAGCCTGCTGCCTCAGCCTCAGCCTGCAGCCTCAGCCTCAGCCTCAGCCTCAGCCTCAGCCTCCTCAGCCTCAGCCTCAGCCTGCCTCCTCAGCCTCAGCCCTCAGCCTCAGCCTCAGTCTGCCTTCAGCCTCGGCCTCAGCCTCAGCCTCAGCCTCAGCCTGCCTCAGCCTCTGCCTCAGCCTGCCTCAGCCTCAGCCTGCTTCAGCCTCAGCCTCAGTCCTTCAGCCTCGGCCTCAGCCTCAGCCTGCCTCAGCCTCAGCCTGCCTCAGCCTCAGCATCAGCCTGCCTCAGCATTCAAAATGTGGCCCAATGGAGTTCTGGGAACTCGAAGAACACGAAGTGGCCTACAGTTGGCTCCGGGCATTCAAAATCATGCCCAGGAATGGAGTTCTGGGAACTCGAAGACCACGAAGTGGCCTACAGTTGGCTCCGGGCATTCAAAATCATGCCCAGGAATGGAGTTCTGGGAACTCGAAGACCACGAAGTGGCCTACAGTTGGCTCCGGGCATTCAAAATCATGCCCAGGAATGGAGTTCTGGGAACTCGAAGACCACGAAACGCGTTACTGTTGGCTAAAAAAGGAATCCCCGGATTCTCTCGGCACCCGTCCAGCATCTGTCCTGCATCTGCCCAGACCCCCCTGGGGAGTCATGATGCTCTCTCTTTTGAGACCACTAGAAGCCTACCAGTCTTCGCTGTTAGGTAAACAAATATCCCGGCAAAGCAACCTAACAGCGATGTGTAGGAGCATATCTGGAAGCATTCCCCTTAATATTCAGATGAGAATCCAGTTGTAGAATTCTGCTGTTCTCGCAGTCGTAGTCGCATTCGCGATGACAGTCGCAGTGGCAACGGCAGTCGCAGTCAGCCTCAGCCTCAGCCTCAGCCTCAGCCTCAGCCTCAGCCTCAGCCTGCCTCAGCCTCAGCCTCAGCCTGCTTCAGCCTCAGCCTCAGTCTGCCTTCAGCCTCGGCCTCAGCCTCAGCCTGCCTCAGCCTCAGCCTGCAGCCTCAGCCTCAGCCTCAGCCTGCCTCAGCCTCAGCCTGCAGCCTCAGCCTCAGCCTCAGCCTGCCTCCTCAGCCTCAGCCTCAGCCTCAGCCTGCCTGCTTCAGCTCCTCTGCCTTCAGCCTCGGCCTCAGCCTCAGCCTGCCTCAGCCTCAGCCTGCCTCGGCCTCAGCATCAGCCTGCCTCAGCATTCAAAATGTGGCCCGGGAATGGAGTTCTGGGAACTCGAAGAACACGAAGTGGCCTACAGTTGGCTCCGGGCATTCAAAATGTGGCCCGGGAATGGAGTTCTGGGAACTCGAAGACCACGAAGTGGCCTACAGTTGGCTCCGGGCATTCAAAATGTGGCCCGGGAATGGAGTTCTGGGAACTCGAAGACCACGAAGTGGCCTACGGTTGGCTCCGGGCATTCAAAATCATGCCCAGGAATGGAGTTCTGGGAACTCGAAGACCACGAAGTGGCCTACAGTTGGCTCCGGGCATTCAGAATGTGGCCCGGGAATGGAGTTCTGGGACCTCGAAGACCACGAAGTGTGTAACTGTTTGCTTAAAACGACTTCCGCGGATTCTCCCCGGATCCTGCCCGGACCCCCCTGGGGAGTCATGATGCTTTCTTTTGAGACCATTAGAAACCTAGCAGTCTTCGCTGTTAGGTAATTTGCTAAAACCATATACAAATCAAGGTGTTCTGCCCCTGGGGGCCCCCTCTGGAAGGCCTCTGGAGCCGTCTTGAGGCGCTCTTTGACCGTCTGGGGGCCATCTGAGGCTCTCTTGGGGCGTGGTGCCCTCTTGGGGAGTTTTACGGGCCCTCTTGGGCCGTCTTCGGACTGACGGATCGCACGCTAGGCGCGCCGTTGGTCGTCCGCCGCCCCCCGTACTTGCCACAAGCGTGCTTGGCGTGCCAAACGTTAGAAACCCTGTTGGCCCTCCCAAGAAATACCCACAAACCCTTTCGACCCACCCAGCCGCCCGACGCGGGACCCCAGCAAAACCAGAATCCGTCGTCACTTCCGCCCAAGACTGCTCCAAGAGGGTCTCCAAGAGGGCCCTTGTCGCCATCAAGTGGGCCCAATATGACCCAAGTGACATCTAAATTCACCGTGTCTAGTTTGCCCACTATGCCTCTGAGACTGAACCAGGTGGACCGATACACTGCTCAAGATGGTCTCAAGACGGCCCAAGAGAGTCTCAAGACGGCCCTAAAAAGGTTCCAAGAGGCTCCAGCGAGGCCGCCAAGACCCAAGACGGCCTCCGAAGGCGCCAGACGGCCCAAAAGGGCCGGAAGACGGTGCAAACTCCAAGATACCCCGAGCGGGCACCATGAGACCCCCAAACCGGCCCAAACGGCTTGAAAGAGCCCTAAGACAGCCTCAAGACGGCTTCAAAGGGCCCATCCCCAATGTTCCCCCAGCGTTCCTCCAGTGGTTTCCCCAGCGGCTGGAAAACCATGCAGCTCACAAGCGTGGCAGCTTTCTCGCTCGACATTCTAAGACACAAGCGTCTCCAGAAAGGCCTGATGGCGGCGGTGACTCGCCGCATGCGTTTGACATACTTACCTCTCCCAATGAGCAAGATCAGATGAAATACTTCATGACCGAGCAGGCGGCAAGCCCCCCTGACCCTGCCAGTGGCGATTCCGCCTACCCACACTTCGAGGTACTGCTGGCGGAGTGATCAACTAAACTGGGTATCCCCATCCCTCCCAGGGCCCTGACGACCAGGCTACAACTCGGCAGCTTGCACGAGCCCGATGTTGGACCCACCCCCCGAAGTCCCTCGACAAATCCCTGCCGGCGACCTGCTCTAGCACCGAAACCTCCTCTGACCTGGTTGGCATCCAAACAAGCTGTGCCTCTGGAGCGAACTCGTCTGACTTGAAACGCGTGTGAACAATAGATTTCTACATGAGCACACCCACGCGGGCCATGAATACTTGTGACGAGTCATCCTACATACTTACGCAAACTCCAAGAGCCACTGCGCATGAACATGCAGATATACGGCTCCTCTGGGGACGACCTCAAGACACCTCCAAGGGTACATGCTGTGGTTCTCTTCGCCGTCCACCAGCCAAAGGCTGTGTACGACCAGAGGCTTGGTCTAGACATCGACTGCAATGGTTTCCCCTGGATCTTGCCACCCCTCGCGCGAGGTCCGGCTTGCTGCAAGATCACCATCACGTCGTCTGGGATCGGCATCGTCTTATCGGGAGAGCGCGTCACTTCCCCAGCGGGCGCGAACAATATCCACAGCATGCTGAGAGTAGCGGTGGCTGCGCAGATCCATATCGCTGGCCTCAGTCCGTCACGGACGACTGGGGATATCGACTGCGCCACACCTCCGCCGCCACGCCCTGCCAACGCCGGGCGTGCGTTGAGCCCAGTGATCACATGGCTCTAGATCGTGCGTCCGCGCTCGGCGAGGAGATTAAGACTTCCCGGTGCTAGTACGCGGAGACGGGTGACGACGACGGGTCCTCGAAGCGTCCTAAGCCCCAGGCAACAGAATATGGTGGCCGATCGGAGGCACAAACTCGTCGTCCAGGAAAACCGTCGTAGTTCCGGTCAGCCCCGCGATCAAGGCACTCACGATCAAGATCCCGATGCACGTCTCGAAGTAGTACTGGCCGCTAACATGTGGCAGGGGTGGAAGGCCGCCAAGAGCGCTGTACATGCCTGGGGCTGTCGCAAGGCGTCCGCCCTGCTGCCTCGATTCGCACTCGCCCTCCCCTCCCCCGCCCTCGCGCCCTGCGTCCTCTTCCTCATTTTCTCCTTCCCCCCTGCCCATCATGTCTCTTATCTGAACAGTTGTCTTTTTCCCAACTCTCCTTGGTTGGGTATTCGTTTTGAATGCAACATTGTGGTCTCCACGTCCTCCTTTTCCTCCTCCCGCCTCCCTCATCCTGCCTCCTGTGCTGCCCTTGCCTCTTGCTTAGTCCTAACCCTCCCTTGGTTGGGTACTCGTTTTGAATATAGCACTGCTCGCGCGTCCTTCCTCCTCTTTCCCGCACCCCTCCTGCCTCCTCGTGCCTGGGTTTTTGTTGCTCACTTATTCGTGTTATTATTAGTATGGTTGTTATTCGTATTATTGATATTATTATTATTCGTAGTAGTAGTAGTAGTAGTAGTAGTAGTAGTAGTAGCAGCAGCAGCAGCAGCAGCAGCAGCAGTAGTAGTATTAATAGTAGTAGTAGTAGTAGTAGTAGTAGTAGTAGTAGTAGTAGTAATAGTAGTAGTAGTAGTAGTAGTAGTAGTAGTAGTAGTAGTAGTAGTAGTAGTAGTAATAGTAATAGTATTATTATTATTATTATTAGTAGTAGTAGTAGTAGAAGTAGTCGTAGTAGTAGTAGTAGTAGTAGTAGTAGTAGTCGTAGTAGTGGTAGTAGTAGTAGTAGTAGTAGTAGTAGTAGTAGTAGTAGTAGTAATATCAATATTGTTCATTTGTGTGTTATATTGCTTCTCTCTCTCTCTCTCTCTCTTTTCTACGTTTACCACATTTCGTCTTGCGCCTCTCTCGCACCTGCATGCGGCCTTGACATCCCTGGGGGGAGGGGGGGTGAGATCTGCGAAACTGTCGCCACTTTCGACGACGGATGAGGGGGGCCCGCATAGTGGGTACTTGCCGCAGACCCAAACTAGACCTCGCCATCCCTGGCGGGGCTGCGATCTGCGAAATTATCGCGAGGGTTGCTGGGGGGACCAACATAGCGTGTACTTCCCGCAGACTTAAATTAAACCTCGCCGTGCCTGGGGGGGCTGCGAACTGCGAAGCGGTCGCCACTTTCGAGGGCGACGTCGCTGCCCACGTCGTCCAATAGGGAGCGCTGACCGCTTCCCGCGACGTCATGGGAGACATGGGTACCAATCCGGGCCCGCGCACGGACCAAGGGCGCGACCTTGCCCCTCACAGAGGTAGATCCACGCGGTCGCGGCGGGCTCCGGCTCGCTGCGGCATGGTAGCCCCGTGGAGCTGGCGGGATGGATGAGCTTCTGGAGCAAGCGATCGGCCGCCGCGGCGTTCCCTTACGGAGTTCTCTGGTCGGCCCGGGCCTGCGTGACGAGCTTCCGCCTCCAGGTAATCGCCAACTCGTGTACCGCGTCTTTCGCTGGCTGACGGTTGCGCTCAGGGCCGCGGGAAAACGCTAAGGCTGAGCAGGAGGCGCTGTTCCGCTTCCGTCTCCTGCGGCCCTAGTCCGAGCTCCTTTCCCGAGGCCGCTCCAGTCGGTGAGTTGCTGGCGCAGCGGGTGGCGGGGTGGCCCAGAGGGGCGGTTGATGTCGCCCCTGGGGCCGCCGCGCCCCTCGGCGCGGTGGTTTTCTGGCTCCTCGCGCTGCCCCCCCCCTTCCCCGCGCGCCCCCCTATGGGGCCACTTTGCCCGCCGACTTGGCCGACTGCTGGCGCATCGCATCGATGCGCTGGAAGGGCCATCGTGTCTGGCGTGATCAACGGGAGGTGGCTCATCCCGCAGAGCCGGAACACGATGGCCCGCGTCTGCCAGGGGGTTCTCCTGGCGCCCCCCAACAGCCGGTGGGCATCGGGGCGTGGCGCTCCCCGTGCGCACCCGCAGTGACAGTTGAAGGGGATGCAGACCTTCTTACTTTCTGCAGTTGCGGGGGCGCCGGCCGCTCCCGCCGCCTGCCCCCCCTTCGGGGGCGCGGCCCCGATGGGGCACCTCGCCGGGCGGGGTAGCTCGGGGCCCTCTCCATCCCCGCCGGCGCGGATGTCCCGCGGGGGGCCTTGGGCCACCGCCCACGCCGCGCCATTGCCCACGGCGCCCGGTGAACCTCCCAGCCGTTCATCCCTGTCGAGGATGGCGGAGCGGAGCGCTTTCTGGGGGTGGTTCACCTTCAGGCGGTCATCCCGCTCCTCCGGGGCCAGGTCCCGGCTGCCCATGTCGCGGAGCGCCTGCCTCGGGGTCTGCCGCAGGTTCTCCCGCCAGTCGTGGTGGAGCTCCTCCAATTGAATGCATCTCCGGCTCAGTCCACTTGTGGCATTCCTCTTGGCTGAGCTCCACCCTGCAGGCGCCTTAGCGCTCCCTCCGCACGGTGTTTCCCCCCATGGGCCACGCAGATGTCCGCGATCTGCCGCCGGCGCTGATCCGTCCAGACCGCGATGGTCTTGGCCCAGGCAGGGCGCGGGCAGGGTCCAGGCGGCGAAGTTGCCGGCCATGCTCTTCCAGGTCGGTTTTGGGAAGTCCGACGCGCCCTGCAGGGCCCACTTCGCTATCCGGCCCTGGCCTCTTCCTCCCCGGGCGCCCGCCGCGACGACATGGGCGATGCGCTTGTGGGTAACCTCCGGGAGCCCAGCCCGGGCGAAGACGGAGCGGAAGCAGCCCCCCCGACTTCGCGGACCGTCGGAGTTCCCTGCCCACGGCGCCGGGGCACGGGACTACTGCGAAGGTCAAGCGCCCGCGCCAAGGACGCGAGAAACCGCGCGGTTCGTTACTTCGGGGGAAACCAGCCCGCAGACTCTTCCTGAGTCTCCGGCCATCTGGCGCGTTTGGTGGAACGGCTGGATATGGAGACTGGTGGCCGTGTCTCCCAGCGAGCTTCCGGAAGGGGCCCCCTTCCGGGCTGGCCCCCGCCCGCGCCTCCGGGGCGAAGGCGGCGCTTCCCGCCGTCGGGGCCAGGGCGCCCCGGGCCGGGGCGCCGCCGCCGAATGGCGGAGGGGGCCACCCCTTCCCCTGCGAGGTGGATCCGCGGGCGAGTGCCCTCGCGCCGCCCCCCCGTGCGCGACGCGAGGGAAAATGGGGAGTCATTGCTCCCGCTCGAGCGGCCGGCGCCAACCTGAGCTTTGCTCAAGGGCCGCCCCAGGGCGGCCTCCTCCCCCCCCCGTCGCCCGCCTCGACGCAGGAGATGAGGGCGCGTGCGAGGTCTGCCCCAGCGCGGTGCTGGCCTGTGGTCTCCTGGCCCAGCGGGCGACAGGTCTCCCCGCTTCCAGGAAATCCCGCGCCTGGCAAAGAATGGGCTGGGGGAAGGTCGTGGGTCCTCCGCGCTGTGGCCCCCCGCCGTTTCCACGGCCACACTCGCCGCGGTCCTCGGGGCCTCCTTTGTCCAACTCGGACAGGGTAGCTTCGGGCGCGTCTGTCTTGCCCCAATCCCGGCGAAGCAGAGGGCCCCCGACGGCGGGGGCGGGGGCGCGCTTCCTGGGGGGCCCCCGGGGGCGGCTCGACGGACATCGGGCGGGGGGATGGCCCCGCGCGGTCCAGCGGCTCACTGCGGCGCCCTCCCCTTCAAGGCCCCAAGGCCTCCCAGGGGTTCTGGGCTCGTCCGTTTGGCACAAGGGCGCCGCCAATGGCCCTGCCGCCTGGACTGGCCGATGGCAGACATGGGCGTGCTTGCCTCCAGAGGGGGGCGCGAGGAGGGCTCCCCATTCCGCCTCCCCGACCTCCTGGAAGCAGGCGTGCGCTCGGGAATGGGCGAGGCCCTCCACGCGCCCTCCTTCCTTCGCCAGCTGCGGGGGGGCGGAGAAGCGCAGGTCCATAGTCTTGACCAGACATGCTCGCGCCGTGGACAAAAACACGGCGGAGAGCTTCTGGCTCGTCGCCGATTGCTGGCCTGCCCACTGAGGGCAGGGGGACTCCTTCACTAAAACATGTGAATGATACCCCATCGAGCCGACCTGGCACCAGCAAGGCATAGCGAAACCAAGGGCACTGTTAGAGCGAAGGCCGTCGCGCTGAACCACTCGCCCTCCAGGCGGGCGCGGCCGAATTGCACTGCGATGCAACGCCGGAGGCGGGGGGGGAGGGGGGGGCGAGGAGGGGGGGGCGAGGGGGAAGAGGAGCAAACAGCGAGCAAACACCGCCGCGCAGGAGGAGAGGGGGGAGGCAAAGGCAGCAGCAAGCAAGCGCACACGTGGGGGCGGGCGGGGGGCGGGGAGTGACGAGAGGCGTCGGCGGCACTCGGGGGGTCATCGTGGGTCGTCGTGGGTCGGGGGTCGGTCGTCGGGGGGCCCGGGGCGTGGGTCTGGGGGTCCGGGTCAGGGGGTCTGTGATTCGGGGGTCGTCGGGGTCGTCGTGGTCTGTGGTTCTGGGGGCCCGAAGGCAGCTCACACGGCATCCGCCGTGACGGCTGCCGTGGCCGCAGCCAGGCGCGCGGCCGTCGCGCCCGCTCGCGGCTGGAGGCGTCGCAGCATTGCCCGCGCATTTCCCCTGCGCAAGGACATTGAAACTCGCTGGGCAAGCTGGTCCGCCGCGAGCGCGGCGTCGTCTCCAGTAGCGTCGGCCGCGTGCTTGGCGAGCACCGCAAAGGCGCGTCGCGCCTCGCGGCCCCAGCCGCCGCCGTGGGCCCCGAGAAGAAGGAGTTGAACATTGGTCGCGGGGGCGGCATCCGGCCCCCCGCCAGTCAGTCGAGCTCGCGCAAGGGGATAAGCCCCTCCGCCGCTGCTCCTCGCGGGCGCCGGCCTCCTGTCCTTTCCAGTAGTGGTAGCCCCGCCCAAACTCCCACGTGCGCCAGTCGGTCCAATAGTAAGGTAGCAGTGGCCAGGGCCAAAGAGGAGCTGCAGCGCTGCCTCCAGGGACTCCCAGATCTGCGCCCCTAGGGCCCAGGAGAGGAGCCGCCCAAATTGCTGGAGGCCCCCGTCTACCCCGCGGTCCCATCAGCTATCCGCCGACGGATCGGCGCCGTGTGCTGGGGCACGGGGAGCTTTCCGCCTCCGCCCCCAGTGGGCCCTTCCACTGGGCCCCATCCCGCGTTCAACTCCTCCATCCAGCGTTTGGCTTGCTCCCGCCAGCCGTGCTCGAGGACCATCTCCTCGCCCAGCCGGGCTTCCTCCTCCTCCTCGTCTTCGGGGTCGGCATCGTTTCCCTCAGCTCCCGCTGAGTCGGGTCCGTCGGCCAGGTGGGTGGAGGGGCCTGGCGGCCCTTTGGGCACATTGCCGTCCAGGCCAGGCTGCGGATCGCGGGGCGCTCGAGAAGGGGAGGACTCCTCCCCCGCTCCCCGCAAAGTGAGGGCTGGGGGGGGCTCGTCCCTGGGGGCTCTCCAAGCCAGCCCGACGACGGCGCCTGCAGCAGTTCTGGCGACCGCGCTCGGCAGCCGGTGAAAGGGGTTCCCTGGTGCCGGGGGGGAGCTCGGCCGCTCCCAGGGCCGCCCCCGCCGCCAGGGTCACCCAAGCGAGCCCGCGGCACCATCTCGTCTTGGGTGCCCAGGGCGCCATGGATTCTGGGTGCCTGGGCCCCATTCGCAAAACGCGTAACCTGCTCGAGCCCTAACGGCTGCAGCCAGGGAGCGAGAGAGAAGGAAGAGAGGAGAAGCAGCAAGCATACAGGATAACCCAGACGTTAAAGGGGGGGCCCTAACGAAAGGATTGAATAGGGAATGGACAGGACGTGGCTGAGGAGGATACAGAGGATACCTGGGGCGACATGCACCCACTGCAATTCTGCCGGCCTGGCCCCTGAGAGGTAGCACGGCTCACAGAGGGCCAGACGGGGTATCCGTATCGCAGTTTCGAAGCCCTCGCGAGCCTTGCTTAGACGGGGTCTCTAACATCCCTGGGCCCATGAAAACAGCAACTCCATAAAAGAAACATCTGCCTACCGCAGGGGGGTCCCTTCAGAGGGGACATTTCAAAGGGCAGCCGTTCAAATAATCCCACCAGTAGGTGGTTTAACGGATTGTGTCTCCTCTCTCTGCCAAACCCCTCCATCCCCTGCTCGGGGGAAGGGTTTGCCCCTCCCCCTACCCCCTCCCCTGGGCCTGGGAGAGGGGGAGGGGCACGAGGCGGCGCTAGAGCCCCCAAGATGGCCTAAGATGGTCCCTAGAGGGTCTCAACCAGTCCAAGATGGCCTCCAAGATGGCTCAAGACGCACAAGATACCTCAAAACGTTTCAAGATAGCCTCCGACGCACACCCACGAGGCCTCAAGACGGCCCCAAGACGGATTCTAGTGCCCTCCGAGTCCTCCAAAAACCCCGCCGAGAGGCCAACATGGTTCCAACACCGAGGTAAACGCAATGTTTGTTTGGTTATCGTTGTTTCACTTCTGACGGGCTCTTGTGCGGCCTCACGATGGCCCCAAAACGGCCCAAGAGAGCCCCAAGAGGGGCCCAAGAGGTCCGCTAAGAGGGCCCCAAGAGCGCCCAAGAGCGCCCCAAGAGCGCTAAGACGGCACCAAGACGTCATATTTGAGCCTCCGAGGGGGGGGGGGGGCTGAATTGAGGACCACCCATCTTTTCGAGCCATGGGGCCCAAGAGGCCTCCCAGACCCGTCCAATGAACCACTAGAGAGCCCCAGGACTTTTAAAATGAGCCCCAAGAGTGCCCGAAGAGGTTACACGGGGACCCCAGGAAAGCCTCTAAGATGGCCTTTGTCGGCTTTCAAGAACCTCCCACACAGCAGATCTCCAAAGCCCGACGACTCATCTTCCTTGACATCGTCCGTTCCTTCCCTCCTCTTTTCCTGCCTCCTTCCTCCTCCTCCTCCTCCTCCTCCTCCTCCTCCTCCTCCTCGTGCCGCATTCCTCCTCCTCTTCCTGCCTCCTCCTCTTCCTCGTGCCGCATTCCTCCTCCTTCCCCTCCTCCTCCTCCTTCTCCTCCTTCTCCTCCTCCTCCTCCTCCTCCTCTTCCCCCTCCTCCTCCTTCTCTCTTTTTCCTTCTCCTCCTCCTCGTCCTCCCCCTCCTCCTCCTCCTCCTACAACCAAGATGGTACCAGGAGGTCGAGCATGGCTCAAGGTAGCCTCCGACAGGCCTCCAAGAGGCCTCAAGACAGCCTCACGATGGTCCAAGATAGCTGAGACTGGCTCATGATATCCTCGACAGCCTCTAGCCGAGCATTGCTCAAGATAGCCTCCAAGAGGCTTCAATGAAACATCCGATCGTGTCCGGATGGGCTGGCGGGGGGGGGGGAGCGCTCTAGAGGGCCGTTCAGAAGCGCCCCTCCAGGAAACCGCTCCTCCTGCTCGTCGTCCTCCTTTCCTCCTCCTCCTCCTCCTCCTCCTCCTCCTCCTCCTCCTTGTATTCCCCCTCCCCCTCCTCCTCCTCCTCCTCCTCCTCCTCTTCCTCCTCCTCCTCCAACTTCTGATTGCCCCCAGCGCCGAAGCTCTGCGGCTGCGGGCCGCCAGGCACCGGCGACCATGGCCCAGCAGGCGAGTACATGGCGTCTGGCTTGCGGCGTGCAAAAGAGGCTGGCCCTGCTGAGGGCTCGCATGCAGGCGAACGCCCGTGGTCGGTTGGCCACTCGTCAGCAAGGGCCAAGGGCCCTTCAGAGGGGACCCCTCCTCAGGAAGGAAGGGGAAGTGCTTTCGGAGGTCCCATCACCGCCGAGCAAAGCCTCCCAGCGTGCTATAAGACAGCCCGCACGGCCAGACCCCAGCAGGCCTGGGCTCCTTGCCTCCGGCCATGGCGCGCCTGGCTCCTCTGGCACACCCAGCCCTCAGAGTCGCCGGCCAAACACGGGAGGCGCATCTGCGTCTGGTGCCTCAGGCACGATCCGCCCGCCCCCGCTCCCACCCCGTCCCCGTCCATCTCCGCCCTCAGACAGCGGCCACAACAGGAGGAGGACAGAGGAGGAGGGAAAAAGACTGGACGTGTCCCTCTCGAGTCGCACTCGACTGGCGACAACATCCTCCCCCCCTCACTTCCGCGTCCAAAAATTCGATCCCCTCCTCCTCGCTGAAACACGCCCCCCCCTCCCCCTGCAAGAACACCCGCCCTTTCGAAACTCGTGGAAACGGGGGCAGGACATCCCCCTCCTCGTCGACGTCGTCGTGGTCGTCATCGTGCTCGTCGTCTTCGTCAGTTTTCGTCGTCGTCCGTCGCGACGGGCGTCTTCGTCGCCCGTCGCAGCAAGCGTCGTCGCCGTCGCCGTCGCCGTCGAAATCACAGTATTTTTCTTCGTCGTCGTCGCCGCTGTCGTCTGCGAAGCGGTCGGTCGGGCTTGACGCGCCGTCGTCGTCGTCGAAATCGAAGTCGTCGTCGTACGCGAGTCGGTCGGTCGGGTGGGACACATCTTCGTCGTGGGCGAGTCAGCTGGGTGGGCGGGAAGGACGCGTCGTCCTCGTCGTCCTCGTCCTCGTGCCCGTCGCCGTTGGCGGGCACAGGGCGACGTCGCCGTCGCCGTCGCCGTCGCCGTCGCCGTCCGTCGCAACCGCCGCCGCCGCAACCGCCGCCGTCGCCGCCGCCGTCATTGTCGTCGTCGTCGTCGTCAGCGTCGTCGTCGTCGCCGTCCGTCGCAACGGGCGTCGTCGTCGTCCGTCGCAACAGGGGACGTCGCCACTGCCGACGCCGTTGGCATCGGCATCGCCGTCTTCGTCTTCGCCGCGGTCGTCGCAGTCGTCGTCTGCATCGCGGCGCACCTTCAAAAGTTGTAAATTAAAAGTGTGCTCTTAAAGGGTTGGACCAGCGTCTGTGTAAAACACCAGCGGTTTCTACCAGTTCCTACATGGTTTCTACGACACTGCCGCGACAGCGACGCCAGGGGGCGTTCCCGTGTTGGCTGGTTTGAGTGGCGGGATCAACGTGCAGCATCAGTTCGCTGCGTCGCGCGCATTTTGCGCGGTGCTTTCCCCATCCAGGCTGCAATGTCATTTGCGCGGCGCCAAGCGACATGTCCGGGGCGCGCGTTAAAAACGACCGCGCAGAATGGAGCCGCCGAGCCAGATCTCCGCCCCTTGTCATTTTCCACTCCGGAGGCCCGCAGACAGTCTCGGCCCTTGCCGGGTACTGAAATTTCTGACCGCGCTGCCCCAGTTTGCGGCAATCGGGAGGCGACCGAAGCGGAAATACCACGGCGCGCCCATGCGGCGGCAGCCGAATCTGTCGCCGCGCCACGGCTAAAGCGCAGCCCGCGCCCCCCCCTCCCCCCAGCAATGCAAAGCTGAGCAACGAAACGACGCGACGACGTCACCGATAAGGTCCATGGCCGTCGTCTCTCGTCGGCCTCCTCAGCTTTGCACCAGGGGGGGGGGAGCCAGCGCGGCGCTTGTTTCTTGCAACTTCTAAGATACGGTCACAATTATAGTACCGCCTGCCAGATTTCTCGGGGAAGCGTTCGGCACGGAAAGAATGGGCACAATGCCCAACAGCGGATCTGGTTCATTTTGAACAGGACTCGCTGTCCACGCCGCCGCGGCCTGTGTCCATTCGAGACAAAAGGCCGCTTGCCCAACAGCGGCCGCTGTTGGTTTGGGACAACATCTGTGGTTGGGCATTGCACCC